AAATTTGGCTCGAGCCACAGATATCATGAATGATTTAATGTGCCCCTTCGGGTCGGTCGTTCCGTTGAAGTAGTCGATCTTGAGCTTTCCCGGATCAGAGATTGTTGCCTCGGAGATTCTTCTAGTGATAGGTGTATTGCGAGATTCTTCTAAGATTCGATCGATGTTGGTTGCCGAGGAGAACACGCTGTGCATCTGTGACTTGACGAGCTTCATATCGGCTTCAGCTTTGGCTAGGGAGTCTCTGATTTTTGCCGAGCTCTCGTTCCCTCTCGTACTCTTTGGCCCAGCTTGCGTCCTCCTCTGCTTCGTCATCGGTGGCATCGGTCTGCTTGGGGGGATTAACCCCAGTTCGAGGATTCTGAGCTTGCTGATTGCCCGGCTCGTCTATTTGATCTGTCGTATTCGGATATGTAGGATCGTCTTGATTCTCGCGTCGGGCGGAGTCGGCTCGGGCTACGGCTCTAGTGTTGTCGGTTGGTGTTACGAAGACAAATCTCGTCGGGTTGATGCCGAGTATATCTCTTTGGGCTCGTAGCGGCCGAGTCTGAAAACGTGTAGTTTAGAGTTGTCCGTGGGACGCGACGGCTTCGATTTGTTGCGCCATGGTCCTGTTAACTTTCTCTTGATCGTCAGCTTTTTTCTGGAGTTGAACAATCATATCCTTCAGCTCAGCTAGGGTTGTTGAGATTGCTGGTTCGGCTTGGGGATTCTGAGGGTTCGGGTGGTAGCTGGCGGTCGTCTTCGGTCATCGTCTTCTTCGGTAATTGAGTTCTGCGTTCTTGGAGTAAGAGAATTCTAAAGTATTCCCCACAGACGGCGCCAAACTGTGGAAGTCGAAACTAACACAATCGAGATTTGTCTAAGGTTTTAATTTAGAGATACGATATGCAAGAATCCTCAAAGAACAACAGAAAGAGCAGTAACCAAAGATGGTGTCCTTGTTATTAATTAATGAAAAGAATAGCTTTGATCGTATAAAGAACTAGATCGTAAAAAGAAAAGTGTTTGTTTGCTTTCGAGAGCCAAAGCTTTTTGTAGTCTGAAGTCTAGAGCGTTTTTGCTTGTCCCCTTCTGTGAGAGACTTGAGTTGCGTTATATAGGGGTGATAAACCGCCTCTCTAGCGATATTCTCGGAAGATTTCCATTTTATCCTCTAAGTCGGCTTAGAATATCGCAGATAAGGATACTTTCCTTATTCTTCGGAACTTTTGGAAGTTTTCCTGATTTGAGTTGATCCTTCGAGATTCTTCCTTATCATTTCCGAGTATTTCGAAATGATCCTTCTTTTTCGGAAATGATGTTGTCCTGCTCAGAAATGATACTTTGGAGGTGAATATTCACTAAGTCTTTGCCTCGGGTGACTGATGACTTCGCCTCGGGTAAATCGGAGGTCTCGCCTTGGGCGACAACATGCGTTTACCCTCGGGTGTCTCCAAAGACCTAGCCTCGGCGACCTTGAAGATTTTGCTTTGGGACAACTGGTGTGGTCGGGTAGCTTGGAGACTGCCTCGGGATAACTGGTGTGCTTGGCTCGGGATAGGACGACGGTATGATACACAACCCGAGGTAAAGCACCTAGAGGATACCCTGAGGTGATTGGTTCGGATACCCGAGGTGACTGGCAGGGTACCCGAGGTGACTGGCGGGGTACCCGAGGTGACTGGCGGGGTACCCGAGGTGACTGGCGGGGTACCCGAGGTGACTGGCGGGGTACCCGAGCTGAATGGCAGGGTACCCCGAGGTGATCAGCAGGTCAACCCGAGGTACTAAAGTTCGGCTCGGTCTCAAAGTATGGGTGAAATCCGACCCCAACAACTGTGTTGATCTTCACCTTTGTTTTTGATATCACCAGAACTTAAATTTTGAACATCCAATTCGTCATCGTCTTACTCATTCTTCTTCATTTTCGTCCATCCTTCTCTCGATATGATTGATTCGGTTCCGCTAATTGGGTAAAGAAACACAAATATGTATTTAACACCGACGATAGAGGGTGTAAAGTTGTGCTCACTCGGATCCAACTATGGGTTTAGGTTGGTGGTGTTTTCAGGGGACCGCTCAAACTATACTGCTTGGTGCCAAGTACCTTAGGAGATCGCCCTCATCCCTTCATTCGGAGATGGAAGCTTTAATTTGGGCCATGAAGAATATCCTTTCAAGAAGGATTGCTTGTCAGGCGTTTGAATCAGACTGCTCAGAATTGGTCTCGATGGTACAGTCATCTGATGAATGGCCAGCTTTCTCCAACCTTCTAGACGAGTTTGGTTTGCTACGTGTTTCCTTTCCCTCTTTCTCACTTTCCCTTATTCCTCGTTCTTGTAATTTAAAAGCGGACTGCTTACCTCGCTCTTCTAGACTTTTATTTTCTGAAGCTACCTTTGTAAACACTTCTCCTCCTAGTATGGTAACCAACCAAAGAGCTTTTTAATAAATGTGTGGTTGACAAAAAAAACAAATTAACTCAGAGGTAAGGATCTGGGATTAAATTAGTTTTTGATAAAATCTTGTCGGGGCCTAAAACAATTGCAACATTAGCCCATCATCTTTCCGTTTTTAGCCTCACACGCTAAGAGAAACGCAACAGTTTTTTTTGTTTCTTCCGAGACGAATATGCGTATATATGTTTATTTGTCAAGCATCTGTTGTTCTATTGTAGATATACACAGATGTACTTAGATCCACATCTCTAATTTATAGATATGTATTTTGATGTGCATTTTTTTGTAGACATCTATTTATTCTCTTTTATTTCCACTTGATGTTGATACATAACTTACTGTTCAGAAGTATGGCTGACCTGGAGCTGCTTTCCCGATTGTTCGCCGACAGAGAGGAACCTGCTGGCGATAGGGTGAATATGTACTTTAAGCTCAATACGATCAAAGTTGTGCTGAAAGCTCTTAAGCCTGAAGAGATTGAAACCATTAGGCCTTGCTTCGAAAAACTTCTTGATGTCTACTCCAAACTTGTCTTCTTTGGCAAATTAGCTCACTTTCTATTAACCCGCCAGCTTAATGTTGTCAAGCGACAAAATTCAAAAGTTTTTTCATGTACTTATTTTCATTCCATTGCTTTCACGATTGTATAGTACCTAGTTTTTTTTCTGTGTTTTTCTCGCTTCCCTCACTAAATTCCTTCTCCATATCCACAGATCTATTTAGATCCACAATTTTTTAATTATCCCTGAGTTTGTAGATCTATATTTATTCATGTATATTTTGTCAAGCATCTATTATATTGTTTGTTTTAGATAGTAGATCTGTATCTATTCATGTATATTGCCAAGCATCTGTTGTTCTATTGTAGATATCCACAGATCTACTTAGACAGTCTGCAGGTTTGCATTAAATAGAAGTCGCCTCCTTCCTTCTGTCGCCGCATAACTGTCACGTCTGAAACAGAGACGTCGTTTCATTTATTTTTTGCAAAAAAATCAATACTGTTATCCCACTCGCATGGATACGTAAGCGTTTGATTTTTTCGTTATTATTGAGAAATCGAGGGTCAAAAGTGAGGTTCTTTTTGCGTTCCTTGGAGACAGAGCAGTCAATTACCAATTCGAAAATTTGCCTCTCTGTATTTACCTTTGCGCTAACTCACCCAATTAAATATACATATTTTTGACTTGTTGACTACTATAAAAATGTAAGTGGAGGGAATCCAAAATTTTCACGTCAATGTCACGATTGAAGAAGAAAGCTAATGAAGGCAAATATTAAAATTCAAAACTTGTCACATTTCTATATATTAACACATACTTTTACCATGAGATCATCTTCCATGGCTAGTTTTGATCTCTTCTCTTTATTGAGATGAAACTCTCCTTTCGTCCTTCGCCGTAATAGCGTTTGTTGAGATCAAAAGGATACACCACTTTAGGATGGACTGTTTTATTCTCTTCACTCAAAAGAAGTTCTTCTTCTTCGTCATAGACTTTGTTGAGATCGAAATCAGGCACCACTTTAACATAGACATCATGAGTTTGCCTTCCATCATTCAAGCTTTTGTTTTCTTCCACTTCTAGAGTTCTCATGAAAGCGTTTGCCATTTTGGTGTTCAAAACAATACCCGTAAGAATTTAAACAGTTTAATATTTGTTTTTGAAGTTTGAACAGAAAAGAAAGGTTCATCGCCAACAATTACTGACTGTGTTGACTGGGTTGGAAAGATAAAAGTAACCTATGAAGTTAGAATAGTGAGTGACTCTTGAGATATTCTGAAACGTGAGAGTTATATTAAAATTTAAATATTTAGTTGTTTTAATTTTTATATTATGTTAGTTTAGTTGAGGATATATTTGGAATTCTTTCACAAAACATATATAGAAAAACGAGAACGATATAAGTATTTACAAAAAAAAAACCTAAAACGACAAGTATTTCAAAACAGAGGGAGTATAATTTTCGAAACAATCTTATACAGAACTGAGCATAAGCTAATATGCCTTAATTCCATCAATCTTTTTGTTATCAAAGCTTTCAGGATCAGACTTATATATCTAAGGTTCCATATTTCAAGAAGACTACCATTACTCAAAAACTTTGAAGCCTATGTCATGATATTTCAAGACTTTATTATATCTCTTAATATTTATCAACCAAAAATTCCGTATATGTTATAAATAAATTAAAATACATGTCATACTTTTTTAATTTTTTTTTTTGTGCAAAAACTTTTTTTAATTTATAACACGGATTACAATAATAATTTATTTTTTGACGTAAAATAATTTTCAGACAGAAAAAAAAAAAAAAAAAAAAAATTTGTGAAACTGTGAAATTAAAATCGGTTTAGGTGGAATCGTAAACCGGAATTGACGGTTTTCTAGATTCATCTAGAATATCTGAGAAAGTCCCTTTCTCCTTCCACCTGTTTCTTCTTTTCTCTTCTTCTTCGCTCTTCTTCTTCACTTACCTCTGCAAAAAAAAAACTTCAAAGCTTCTCTTGCAATAACACTCTTCATCTCTTTCAAATTCTCAACTCGCATTAACCCTAACCTTCTTCGATCTCGTAATTTAGTAGATTTGAGCTATTTTGCAAGAAGCTTCTCGTTGCCGTTGGACCAGAAAAAACATGGCGGGATACAATTGCTTACCGATGAAGATGAAGAGGAAAGAAATTGAGAGAGTTAACAACGATTTCTCAGATTTTTCACTCTCTTCTCCTGCCAGAAAGATTCGTCGTCTGGTATCTTCTAATTTCGAGAAAATTTGTTCATGTTTTGATTCTGAAACCCTAGTTTGTGATTACATAAAGATGATTTTGATTTGATGATTGTGTTTCAGGATTCGGATTTGCCACCGATTATGGAGGAAGATGAAATCAAATCTGTTCCAGTGAATGAAGAGAGAGCTATTGTTCTTTATAAGCCTCTCCACCATTATCATCAACCTTCTAATGAACACCTTTTTGTTGATAGAGACTTCATTTCTGGGTTCAAGAGTAAGTTCTTTTGTATTATGTCACTCAGACTTTGTATGTTCTTTTGGACTGTGAAGAGCAATTCTGATAAGTGGTGTTATTGCTTTTACCTTGTTTTGCAGATAGATTTTTGCACGATGCAGTGGTAGCTGATGATCTTTGTGCTGATGATGATGACGAAAAAAACAAGCAGCAGGCGGTTGTTCGGTGGGACCGATCCCAGTTTCAGTCCTTTGAGCCAGAGATTACTGAGTTGGATGGTGAAGATGCGATGATGGAAGAAGCAGCAATGGATGTAGAAGAACCATCTTTGCCACAGCAGCAGAAGCCGGGAGGGTTGCTTCAGTGGCAGCAGCAACTTCATTGTATGGTACCACAGCTTCCCCAAACTAACTCTACTCCTATCTCTTGGTACCGATGACTTATAGTAAATGTAGAAGCAGGATTTTTCATTGGTAGTTCTGTCACTGTATAACTTACTCTATTGCTAGGCTTATCAATGTTATATTTTTGCTGTCAGAGCACAAAGTAATTCAATGTGTTTGGTTAGAGTAAGAACTACAAGTTTTCCTTTGAGAAAGAAACTTTTTGTTCATTGTTTCTCGTATGAATCTGAGGTTTCAATTGATTAGACGATAGTGATACGAAGCTAGTAGTCTTTTGTCGAGAATTTATCGTAGAAAAAGGATAACTCTTCAGAACTAGTCACCATCTCATCAAATTTTTGAAGTAAAATAACTGTCTCATAGACCTAAAACTTGTGCATTCTCGTGGCATATGAGCTGAGAAAAATGGAAAACTGGATGTATGCAAATGGGCAGAAATAGTTTGGTGAGAGCTCGGTAAAGACGCAACGCAATGCTGAACAGATGATGCAAACTGATTCTAACATTTACTCTTTTAGATGGATAGATTAACCAAGTTTCTCATGCATTTTCATCATCTTTAGAAGCGCATCGAATGCGTATGGAAAATCTTATTGGGTTCCAGGTTTGCTTAGGCGGAATAGAAAAGGGGATTAAATATCGAATTAGCATTACTTCCCCAAAGGATCAATAGCTCATGATCATAGTTTAGTTTTAATCTTGGTTTCCTATAATTGATAAGCAAAGACAACTTGCTTGTTTAGTTCTTTACTTATCGTTGCTTCCTTAACATTGTTATTTCATTACTTGTTACAAAAGCATAAAACAGACAAGTACAAACACTAATGAGTTATGGAGAAACAACATCTGACAAATTCATCACAAATACATGTATGTTTCACAAACACTTAAAAAGACTACAAGAGATGGTGTTCAACGACCTATTATGGTGACTACTCTAGGCTTTGTAGCAATAACATTTTTCCATGAACCACTCATAATTATGTGTAACAAATATATGTCCAATCACCAATCCGCAGAAGAGACCAGGTCCATAGGCTATTGCTACTGCTATCCAGTTAATCTCTTGTTCTTCTGTCTCCGACATTTCCTCGGATTCTTGTGGTGCTTGATTTGGGACATGAGTTTTTCCACAAATTTCATCTAGACCATAGAGTTTGGGGTTGTCCATAAATGAAGAACAATTTTGACTTTGAAATTGTGTACCTCGCGGCACTGAACCTTCGAGATTGTTGTGGGAGAAGTTCATGGTTGACAGAAAGGAGAGGCTACCAAGATCTCGAGGAATCTGACCTGACAACTGGTTTTGGGATAGATCTAGTTCCTCGAGCTTTGTTAAATTTGCCAATGATTGAGGTATACCGCTTGTGAATGCGTTACCTGACAAGTTGAGAAGACGCAATTCTTTCAACAATCCAATGGAGCCAGGGATCTCTCCACAAAATCTGTTTCTTGAAAAGTCAATAGCTCTAAAGTCCCTTCGGATCCGCTCAAATTTTCTATTTGTTCCTTTCTGCACCATTTCCATCGAATTACTATATCTAAGAAGATCAAGCGGTATGTCCATATACGGCTCAAAGATGTTATCTTCACCAACTGATGCGTTGATCATTTTACGCCAATTTTGAAAATAGAAAGGCGGCAAGGTTCCGCTGAAATCATTAAGCGATATATCGATGACTCTCAAACTTTGAAACCCAATTGATTCGTTGAGATGATACAAAGGCCCGTAGAATTGATTTGATCTGAGGCTGAGGACACTTAAACGTGGCAGAGAAGTCAACCAAAATGGAAACTTGTCTTTGATTCTGTTTCCTTCCACATTCAAATATTCCAAACTTTCGCAACTGACCAATGATTTTGGAAATTTTCCCTCCAACTGGTTGCCACTAACGTCAAGTGACAGTAACATAGTAGCATTGACAAATATTTCAGGAAGAGTTCCGCTAAGACTATTGTTACGAAGAATTAGCGCCTTAAGATGCCGACAATTCTTTAAACATGTAGGAATTGAGCCGTTGAAGCTATTGTTGGAAAAATCTAAAAGCAATAGCAAACTAATCTTGCAGATCCAATTGGGTACTTGTCCTCGAAATGAATTCGAATTAAGATCCAATATCCACATAAGCGTAAATTCATCATTGAGAACTTCCAATGATTTTCTAAAGCTACTAAAAGAGTTGTGAGAAAGCCTCACCGACGTCAATCTCCGTAAGCAACCTGGTACTTCGCCTTCCAACTTATTGTTGGAAAAATCAATATCAATGAGCCGGTCTAACTTTGATATACACCTAGGGATTGACCCAATGAAATTGTTGTATTTAAGATCTAAATCTCCGAGATGGGGAAATTCACATGTAGACTCCGGTATTGGGCCATTGAATTGGTTATAACTAAGGGATAGATAATACAGCTTAGACGTTGAAGATGCATTCCCAAAATCCATAGGTCCCTTGAAGTGGTTACTCCCCAAGAAAACAAATTCTAACGAAGGAATCTTGAACAAGGAAGTAGGAAAAGGCCCGGAAAATGAATTTTCTTTCACATCAAAATAAGTCAGGTTTTGGTATCCACTCATGTCATGTGGAAGCATGCCGCTGAAGTTGTTGTCGCTAAGCTCCAAGCGCGTTAGTTGGGTAAGATTTCCAACTGAAGTTGGAAACTGACCAACTAATTTGTTATGTCGAAGCACAAGATCCGTGAGATGAGAAAGGTTTCCTAATGAGGAAGGAACCTCTCCATAGAGTTTGCAACCAGAAAGAGATAGTATACGAAGATGTTGGAGTTTGAAAAGACTACTATTTGTTTTCAAAGAGTTGTTGAGATAAACGAAGTCAAGGACAAGTGAAATCACCTTGCCAGATTTAGTGTCGCATGTGACCTCCTCCCAAGAACAACAATCACTAGTCTTGTTCCATGAACTTAACGATCTTCCATTAACCTTTGTGTTATACTGAAGAGTCGGAAACTCATCTTTGAATTCAAGAAGAGCATCCCTTTGATCATGGTTGCAATGGTGGAGCTTAGGAGAAGCAAGAGTGTGGAGTAGAAGGGAAATCAAGCAGAAGAAATAACAATAACAATGGCTTTGAACCATCATATCTTTTTTTTTTTTTAATGGAGTATAGTTTATGTAATGATTGTGTGGCTTTAAGTCTTTTATATAGAAAAAAAAAACTCTTTCATTTGTGAAACTCTTGACTTGGAAAGTCTTGCGTCAACTCGTCTAATTCGGTTGATTTGTGGAGTCTTTTCAATCTCAGTTAATATGTTGCGTTGTATATGTTTTAGAGGCTCACTTTTAATAGAAGAAAAGTATGTACACGAAATGTTTTGAAATACAAAAGAGATAAACAAAGAAATTGATAAATAGAAAAGATAGATGGGGGACCATCGAGATAGAAGAATACACAAATTTGTGTGTGTCTAAAGAATGCCGTGAAAAATGGGTTATTATGTGAAGAATAATGTCCAGAAGTCTCTTTTTGATTCTTTTGCTGTCAAAAAAAAAAGAAAAGAAAAAAGTCTCTTTCTTCATGAGGTGGCTCTTACGTATTCTCTCTAAACAAGTCTCTGGCTTGATCAAGAAACATATATTTCTTATTCTGTTCGCCAGACCTTATGTTTCACTAGTCTCTCACATATTATTTTCTTCAAAAAAGATCTTTCTATTTATGCTAGATCCTATCTCATGCAATGCATATGATTAAAGAGATAATTAACTTCGAGACAATAGATGTGGTTGAAATTAAATTTCTCGTATTATGTTCTCAAGGCCCAAGACGACAATGATAATTTTAGTCCATCATTTTCCAAGTTTAACCCCACGTGCAAAAGAATATATATGCCCAAACAATTGGCGTATAAGTATACAAATGTTAATAACGTTCTATATATGTGTTTATATGTTTACAAATGTTAATAGTGCTCTATATATGTTTATATGCATACAAATGTTAATAACGCTCTATATATGTTTACATACATACAAATATCAGTAATGTTTAATGTACATGTTTACATGTATATAAATATTAATAACCTTATATATATATATTTAAATGTATACATAGATCCAAAACTTAACACTATAGTTATTTTTATATATTTACATATATATTTTTTTGCAACACAGCGGCAGGCGTATTCATTGGGTGTCTATTCCATTATGTAGTGATTTAAAATTTTAAATTCACGCCCAACAAGTTGCGTCAGTTTGCATTTAATATAAGTCCCCTCCTTCATTCTATCGCCGCGTAAAGGTCACTTCTACAACAGAGTATTTAATAACTGTCATTTCATTTTTTTTCCTTCCCAAAAGTCAATGGCGCTATCACACGCGCATGGCTCCGTAATCAACTGGTTTTAGTGTAATTTTTTTGAAGTTGAGGACCATTGATAACATTTGATTTTTGTTTGTCGGGAACAAAGTCGCCTATTACCGATTGCCAAATTAGATGTCCCATTTTCACCTCTGCGCAAATTCACTCATGATTAAATATAATATTTTTTTGTCTACATCAATATAGTAGATTAATGTTATTATATGGTTAAATATTTCTAAAATTATTCGATCAGGATTTCTGTTTAGGTTTTTGGATTTTCAGGATTTTTTGTTTATGAATAAGCAGATACTAACCCATGTTTATTAAAATTTTAATAAATTATTTTCGATTAGATTTTTTCGACATCGATATCTTTATATCGTAACAAAAAATGTGACTATTATTATTATACAACATCATTGTATGATACCACAACTTCCCCAAACTAAATCTACGATCCTATCTCTTGGTACCGATGACTTATAGTATAATGTAGAAGCAGGATTTTGTCATTGATAGTTTGTCGCAATATAACTTACTCTATTGCTAGGCTTATCAATGTTATATTTTTGTCGCAAGAGCACAAAGTAATTCAATGTGTTTGGTTAGAGTAAGAACTACATGATTTCCTTTAAGAAAGAAACTTTTTGTTCATTGTTTCTCGTATGAATCTGAGATTTCAATTGATTAGACGATAATAATACGAAGCTAGTCACCATCTAACGAGTCCTTTCTCGAGAATTTATCTTAGAAGAAGGATAACTCTTCACAACTAGTCACCATCTCATCAAAATTTTGAAGTAAAATAACTGTCTCATAGACCTAAAACTTGCACATTCTCGTAGAGACACAATGCAAACAAATTTTAACATTTAGTCTTTTAGATG